TTAGTCTTGACATTCGGGACAATTCATTCTAAAGATGCAATCTGTTTAAAAAAATTATCCTATAGTTATTAATGCATCATAATATTATGATTTTTTTTTCGAAAAACCTTTTTATGATTATTAAAGCATCTTAATGTTTTGTCTTTACAAAAAATTCTATTTTATAGTTATTAAATAATTTTAAGACTGTGATTTTTAGGAAAAACCGTTTTATGGTTATTAAAATATTTTAGGACTGCGTCATTTAAAAAACCGTTATTTTCCAAACTGCCATATCATTTAATTCATCTTATTTAAGATACTCAATAGTTACTCCAACTGTTTAGTTCGATTGATTCCCACCTTGATTCGATCTTAATCTTCCACATAATCTTGATTCGATTTAGCAACCCATGGTCTATCCATGTTTGGAGTGAATAACTCGCCCATGGTCCATCCACAGTCAAGCCTCCATTTTCCGATATGGCACTCATATACATTCATATATATGTCTAAGGAGTCACTGAGCCATTTCTAGTTTAGTTATTAGACCATGACTTGAGTTTAAATTATTTTCTCCCAACTAGTATCTTTCCAATCACGACGATGGTCCATCCCAACGATCCTATCGTGGATTAGGGATGTTACATAAACAAGCTAAACTTGTTGAGTTACATCTTGGTGAGTAACACTTTTGTTTAACAACCACACATTCATGAAAATAAAACTTTGTGATTGTTATAATTAATTTTGAAAGAAATTGTTTGTATATTAAAAAAAAAGCGCATTCATTCTAGAACGAGATGATCGCGTCGAACAATCGGCTTTTGAATTCAAAGAATGTGAAATCAAAGAAAGAGAAAATTAAGAACCATAGCACGAAGAGCACCAAATGCATCTGGAAAAATGAAAAAGGCGGGCCAATTTTCAGGACACTAGGTTATGCTTACAAGATCTTAAAAGTTTTTATCAACAGCCTATTAACAAACACTTAACTAGAGAACACATCATTGAATAATAATGCTTCAAACTCCATCTTTGGCCTCTCGCACCGAGGAGCACAATATGATTTCCCTGACAAACAATCCATCCCATCCTCGAAGTGGGATCGGACTCCTTCCACGAACCATTGACTTGGCAACTAAGGCTAGGAGAAACTTGTTCCTCTTGTTGGCGAGTCTCTCTCTTGCCTTAGTAACACTAGATTGAGTTTTTTCCATGCCAAATTCTCCCTTTCTGCTAGCTGTATAATATATAGAGGTCCTGAATCTGCAATTAAGAATACTCTTTCGTTCTTGACTTTCATATAAACCACATAAGCCATAAAAATATTCGTTCTTCTTTGTTTTGTTCTATTTATTTTGAATGT